GAATGTATGTATGTTTTCTCGCATTGTGATAAAACAACGATACCTAGAGCCATCAAAATTTGAATAACGTTATCTTCCATAGAATATGGGCATGCAGAAGCTCTAATTTGAATTTGAAATTGTGTTTTTATTTTCGATATCATATTTTGTAACACTTCAACGAATTTTTGACTAACAAACTAAACGATTTCAAAGCGAGCAATGGCAACACTGTACGGGGAAAAAAAAAAAAAAAAAATCTCCAATGCCGCAAGACTCTGTATCGAAAATTCTAAAGGTATGTTCATTTTAAAATTATTTTGCGATATTGCTCTTGAACTGAATTTTATGGTTTACGTGCGAAGAACATGATATTTAATAAATAAAGGTAACACACAAAACGTTAAAAAAAAAGACCCCGTTGGGCGTGATGTAAAATCTGAAAGCTTTCAATTTTATTTATTTATTTTTTTTAATTTTTATTATTATTATAAAATTATTATTAAGAAAATTTTTATTATTATTAAGAAAAAGGCCCTTTGGGTTGTAATTTAAAATCTGAAAGCTTTCAGATTTTTTTTTTTTTCGTTTGTTTGTTTTGATGTTGTTTGTTGTTGTTTTTTAAATATTTCTCTATTTAGAAATTGAAAAATAATCATTGTAAGATGTAGTGTTGGTATTAAAGGTTTTCAGTTTTTGTTTAGGTGGTACGCGTTAGCCAAAAGGTTGAGAACCACTGGCCTAGGGTTATAATATGCAGAAGTTACCATAAATTGAAACAGGCGCCATATTTGCAAAATGGGAAGAGTACGGCGGAGTTTTCTTTTATTCTTAAAAATTCACAGATATTTCTCTAGCGTTACTGTCTGTACACGTTTTCAGACATCCCTTAGAAAAGGCCTAAAATTGACTAATCCGTCTTTATTTTAATAAAATTCATTACCTATCAACGTTCAAAACTTCGAATTGATTTTTCAAATTGTATTAGCATGTTTGAGTAATAAAGACCCTCACATCGCATTTTCAGATATTGCAGCTAAAGCTGGTTTTAAAGACCCCTTTCTGAAATTGATGTTATAACGTGTGGTCGCTAAATTCAAAATGAACTTTATAGATTCTCATAGTTTTAGACTTTTTTTTAAATCAGCTTTATAAATCTATCGCTGCAACGACTGGTCGTCATAACGGTAATCACTTACATTCGGGTCATAAACTTCAAAAAATAAATAAATAAAGGTAACTCACAAAACGTTAAAAAATAACCAAAAAAAGTCTGAAATGTTTCAAATTTTAAATTACGTCCAAAGAGGCGTTTTTTTAACATTTTGTGTGTTAACCTTTATTTATTAAATATCATGTTATTCTCGCTTAAACCATAAAATTCAGTTCAACAGCAATATCGCAAAATAATTTTTAAAATGAGCATATCTTTAGAATTTCCGATACAAAGTCTTGCACTCAGGAGATACAAATGTTTTTTTTTTTTTTTCGGGGGGCAGTGTTGCCATTGCTCGCTTTGAAATCGTTTAGTTTGTTAATCAAAAATTAGTTAAAGTATTACAGAATATGAAATCGATATTAAAACAAATTTCAAATTAGTGCTTCCACATGCCCATATTCTATGGGAGACTACGTTATTCACATTTTGAGGACTCTAGGTACCGTTGTTTTATCACAATGCGTGATACATACATACATTCATGTACATTCTCCATTTATTTAATTTCTTTAAATATAACACAGGGCTCTAATATTTCGTGGCAACAATTTGAAATGTGAAACAAACGACGCTTATTGTGAATCGACGCAAAATGACAAAACGAAATTAATAGTCTTTCTACGCAAATTACCCCTTTGGACTAAAAATGTGTGAATAAAGTCAAACGAGTGCAAATAGCTTAAATCCGGCGTATCAAACTAAGAAAATATATGTTTAACATTCTGGTGACAAATATTTTGGAATACAGTTTGCAAAATAAGGAAGGAAAGGAATAATTTGCAAGTAATTTTAATGCTTCATTCTAGTATAATGAAAAGCAGTACATCAATTTATTAACTGTAACGATATTATGGTGATCTAACAACGGAGGAAAAAATTAAAGGCCTTCATTTAGAAAACTGCTATTGTTTTCTTATTAAATGCTACGTAAAGTTTACCTACAATTATGTTGGCCTGGCTTATACTATTGTATGTTACGTAACGGAAATGTATGAGTAGAATTAAGGATCGTCAAATAATCCATTTAGACATTTGATAAACATAACAATTTGCACCCCCCCCAAAAAAAAAATTGCAAACATTAATTTTTGAAAAAAACATGTTAATGTCTTATTCATTTTTCTTTTTGCTATATAAACCATTTTAAATCGAAGCTTAATCACTACAGAGATACCTACTTATCTGAACAGCAGTAAGCCAAGCTAAGATGTCATTTTATATATAACAAATTTATGAAAAATTTAAAGTTGAACACGAATCGGTAACTTCTGACATTGATAATCGATCAGCGTTAATGGTATCTGGTATAAAACATTGTTTAAATTCTTTCCAAGTTACACTACTGACCTTGTCGTGTTAACAGTCAACTGATTGATCGTATTACAGCGATGAATGAAAGAAAGCTTTCCAGCATGGAAAAAAATATTCATTTTACATATTTGAACACGAAACTTTTAGCGTGGATTATTTTTAAAGGTCAAACCTTTTAGCTTTTGAAAAAAAAATATATAATAGATCTAAGTTTACAAACATAATATTTTCTATACGTTTTAAGTGCTAATGTGATCTCACATTTCGTTAGCAATTACCACATTCCCCGATGCAGTGGTGTAAAGGAGTAATACGGAACATTGAAAAATTCGCGTTTACGAGTCCGGACGGCAGAATAATTCAGTTTTCATGTTTTCTGCTTTGCAAAACATAACAAACTCGGCGGAATTAAAACTTAGTGGTAGATGATTTTTCATCCACCTCGATTTGGTAACTGGTTCTCGTGCTTCATCGCAGTCACTCTTCAAGTAGAGAGAGAATGTAAATTATTACAGCATTTAACTTTTCATGTTCTTGTAATTTAAGTAGTTAGTAGGTCTATAGTATTTGTTAAAGTTCAGCTTGCGTAAAAAAGACCCTCTAGAATGGAAACTCGGAATAGTATATAATTTCTTATCCAAAGAAATCGGCGTTTATAAACTATCTTATTTTGGGCGAAATAATGTAATCACACTCATGTCCATAAATTAAGGATAATGCAAAATCAGGCAAAGGAATAGTTAGAAGCAAACCAAATTTGACATATTTGTAAAGCTTATTTATTAAACAAAAGATAAAGAGCAAAAAAAGATGCTATATGTTTGATATTATTAAAAAAATTAGCGATTTTTTCTCCCTGGAGCAAATTACAAAAAACACCTATTTACAAAAACACAATATTACATGGTTGGTATGAGTGTTAATACATTGTATGTCTCCCAGCCGATGCAATACAGTCCGTACAACGTCTAGGCATGCTGAGTTTCAAATTATCGATCTGATCTTGGGGGGCTATTACACCACTCAAAAAGCAATGCTCTCCGAAGTTCCGCTAGACATGTAGGAGGAGGTTGACGGGCTGCAACTCGTCTGCCAAGCATGTCCCACACGTGCTGTAGTGGATTCAAGTCCGGTGAGAATGCTGGCCAGTCCATACGGGGGATATCCTTCGATTGAAGGCATTCGCTTACGATGTTTGCACGGTGAGGACGGGCGTTGTCGTCCATAAACACAAATTGGGCGCCCATGGCGCCCCGAAACAAAAGTACATGTTGTTCCAGAATGATGTCCCGATAGATTTGGCTTGTCATGGTTTCAATTTGAACATGCAGGTCAGTTCTGGAACCCAGAATAATTCCACCCCAAACGAGCACTCCTGCACCACCGTAACGGTGTCGTTCAATGATGTTTTCTTGGTAGTAACGGGTACCTGGAGCTCTCCATATGAAAGTCCGACGAGAATAAGACTTTAAGCTAAACCTGGACTCGTCGGAAAACATCACATAGGCCCACTGTTGCGGTGTCCACAATGCATGCTCTATACTCCAGGCTAACCGCAGGCGACAGTGAGTTGCAGTAAATGGAACGCATCTGACAGGTCTACGAGCATATAGACCAATCTGCCCTAAGCGTCTTTACACGGTCTGCCTTGAAATTGTCGTACCAGTGGCTGAAGAGAGCTGACGAGACAGGTCTGAGGCTGTGCTCCGCTTGTTTCTTTTGGCAGTAACTTCCAAATACCGGCCCTCATTCGGCGTGTAACTCTGGAGCGACCGTGATGTAACGTCTACTCACATACCATCATCTCGAATGTTGCCAAAGCCTGGATGACCTCTCGGTAATTCCAAGTTCGTCTGTACTTCCGTCGGTACGTCCACATTCCAGACGGCCGATATTCTACCAAAAAAAAAATCATCCAAATGCCATCCTTTGTGTCATAACTATTCGGTTATTGCACTGAAATGCTTATAAAGCGCCTGCGAACAATTTTATTTCTTTGCCTGTATTATTCCTTATATATCACTCTCGTCATTGTGACGTACTATCGGTGTCATCTGGTTACTTCCTGAAATTTGCATATGATTCTTGAAGATGTGTGTAGTGATTTTACAAGTGATATATTTATTTTAGAATTCGATTTCCGCGTGACTCCGAATTATCCTTAATTTATGGACATGAGTGTATTTCTGTACGCCATAAGGAAATGATAAGAACCCAAAACTATCAAAGAATTATACTGAGTAGAAATAAAGTAATCAATAAGGACTTGTATTTTAATTATTTGAGAACAATAAATTTTAATTAGCAGAATCAAAATGTTTTGAGAATTATAATGAAATTCTTAAACAAGCTAGATGAAATTTACTTATATCGTCTTAAAGACTACCGCAATTTCTTTAACTGATAATTTCATATGGCTCAATTTCTTTTCACGTTTACCATTAATAATATTAATAATAAGTTATCTTCCATTTACACTCCGTAGATGCAGAAAATGAGAATGGAAGTACTTGCAACAAAGATTCAGTTGCCTGAGATTTCTTTTATCGCTAACAATTTAAAGAATTTCTCTGAAAGGAAATGCTACACGACTAAGAAAATCGAAAATAGCTCAACAAAAAGCATTGAGAATTCATTGAGACTGAAATATACAAAGCCCACTTCCCAAGCTAGAAAAAATTCTTCAGACGCCTCTGAAAAAAACGTATGTGTCACGAGATTTCAAAGGAAAATTCCAATTGAGGAACCAAACTTTCATTTTAAGTCTTCGGCAGGCCATAACAGTTTATCCAAGTTTAGACACCAAATGAAAGATAAGTTTAAAAAGGTAAAAAAATGCGATTTCATTTTATTACAGACATATTTGATTTTTAAGGTGGAACTTATATCCAGGATATAAGAACTCTGTTGAAAAGACAGACCTTCAGTGATTACGATTATCTTGTAACACCACTAATTCCTTTCACCACGTATAAGCAATCAAGTGTTTAATTAAATACTTATATCATTAACTCAAGCTTAATGATTAATTTGATAGGCAGAGACAAGAATGGAAAACATACTTCTCAGCCGAATGTTACGTAATCTTTATTAGTAAGCCGACCCATTATTGGTATATTAAACCACTCTCTCAGAGTTGTCTGCAGCTCCCATCAGTGTCTCATGATAATGCAGTCCTTTGCCTTAAAGAAATGCATTCTGTCCAGCCATATTACTTCAAATTTACCTTTAGTTTTTTATCGCACTTTTTTATTATATTTTTACCAACACGTGGTGGTATGATTTGGAGTCCTACACCAATATTTTACCTAAATGTGCATGCAACCACATTCGAATGAGTTAAGTCCAAGAGAGGGACGTTTTTCTGGAACTTCAAGAAGTCATACTACGTAATCACGTCTAACTATTAACTGAATTGAGATTTTCCTGATGATGATGACTAAACATGAATTGAGTTTTAGTTGTTTGCTGAGAACCTGAAAATTGGTTATTTTAAGCGTTTTAGTATTTAAGGATTATAATTAGTGTCTTTCAAATTCGAGAATAGATAACTGTTTTCCATATTATGAAATATTCTTTACAGCAGGTGATGCCTGTAACATTCCACAGTATTTCAGAAATGATTTATTCGTTTAAGCTTCTGAGGATTTGAAAACTGCTTCATTGATCTGGTATTGCCAAAATGATCATAGAAATATTTGCCATTATTGGAATCTTCCATTATTGTTCCAGAAAGTGCGGCTTCCATGTAAGATGAAGTGCAGCATAATGTGTACGTATAGTGTTCCAACCATAAACAGAAATAATTTATAAGTCGTCAAATACCGCCTTGAATGATATAATTGTTAATGATCTGCTGTATCTTTGGTTCGGCTCGGTTTCGAATCCAGGAGAAGGCATGGATGTTTGTAAATATCTAGCGTCTGTGCAAGAGTGTATGCACTCAAAATACACGACGAACGGAAAGTCCACTTGAGGGGCTTAGTGGTAAGGGAAAACGGCTGGAAGATTCTTAGAGTAGTATTTTTAAATCATAGTATTTTTTAAAAAAGATCTCTAGAATCTTTGCAAAGGGACTTGTACATTTTGACATCAGAACAAGCAAAGGATAGGTGCATATTGTTTCAAAAGTACTAAGAAAATGACGAACGCTTTTTCGAAATTAAAAAATAAATATAGTTTCTTTTATGCTAGAAACATTAGAATTACTCATTCGACACTACATTACATTCGTGCATTACGACATTCTTTCATTCGACGTTCGTGCATTCGTGCATTCGACATTACATTACATTCGTGCGTTACATGACGAAACATTAGAATTCGACATTAGAATATGTAAGATAGCATCTTAAATATACGTAAGATAAAATTTCAGCAACAATTCGAGGTACTCCCTAAACGTTTTACTCCTGCTATTCCTGCCCTAAATGCTGTAAATTATTCACAATTAATCTTTCTGACTCTCGTATGAAATGGCGTTTTTGCTACTTATATGATCAAACTTACATGAAAAGATAAAGTAAAATATCAGTTATTTTTCCAGTAATGATTTCTTATTTAGTTTTGAAATAAATCATATTAATGATGAAAATGCAACTACAGTTCTATAACGTTCAAGTTCAATAAATTTAAAGGTATCACGTTACTTATACGATTCACTATTCTTTTTGTACCCATTCTGAAGTTATAGCTCTTTGATTTCAAAATATATGATGTCTCGTAAAAATGCAGGTTTCTAATGGCGCACTATGTTTTTGTTTGAAGCGTTGCCAGTACTGGTCTTATCAGTTTTGTTACATACTATCCCTGCCACTAATTGATCATTTGCTACTTTTAAGTTTAGATGCAAAGAAGTTGTTTACTAGGGAGAAACGTGTCGTAATTGAGAAAACTTATTACAAAAACAGGATGTACCGTTCGCAAATTTCGCGCCATCCTTATGTGTGAGTTGCTATTTGCCAAACATCCCACGAGTCAAGAAATCATTGTTTTAAGAAAGTTTTTTGAGCGAATTTCCTTCTAATGCCATGGCCACAGCCAGAAATAGAGCGCGAGGATTTGTGACTTCACAATTTGCATCTTCTTTTTATGGGATTATGTCAAGTCGAATGCTTACGTCACCAAATCGCAAACAATTCGCGAACTCAAGAGATAAATTTAACGGACCATTGGTGAAATTAACAAAGAGGTTTGTGAAAGGATCGTCGTGAACTTCGTCAACGGAGAAATTTCCTGACGAAAAAATGGAGGTGGACGCATTTCAGATACCGTTTTTCAGTACTATATCTGCATGTCTATTAGGAGGAAATAAAACAAAAATTTTGACTTTTTGTGCCACTTTGACTGATTTATTGAATTTTCTAAAACTGCGCAATTTATGATACACTCTATATTTTGTCATTCAAAATTTATCAAAAAATAACTTTTTGAAGGTAAACTTTACAATACATAATGTGGTATAAACTTTATAATGTATAATATAAATTTAATTTATAATATAAATAACTTTCTGAAGGTAAACTTCATAATATATTACTTTATAATATACAATTGTGTGGAAAATTAAGAGAATTTGCCCACTATATCGAATATCTGAAAAACTAATGGACAGATTTTAATGACATTTGGTACGAATATACATTTATAACAGATAGATGTACCATTCAAAAGTCATTTTATGTACGCATGATCCCTATACTATGAGCTTTACTGATAATCAGTAAAGCTAATCAGTAAAGCTCATAGTATAGGAATGTCAGTTTTAGGTTGTAATGCAGCGGACACTCATTGTTTAACCTTTGGTAATGTGGAGTATACGGATGTCCAAAATCACGTTGTGATATCAAACTGGAAGTGAATCTAATATAGGGTGCGGTCCCCTCTCACAGCTAGATAGGTCGCACCACGTGGCGGTATACTGAATAGGAAGCAGCCGAGGAGTCTTTGTAGCAGTCGATCCCATTTCTACAACAAGACAGTTTTTAACTACGGAAGTTTTCAGTGGAAGAAAGTAAGATGAAACTCCCCTCTTAAGAACGTACCAGACATGCTCTGTAGGATTAAGGTGAAAAGATTTTGCTGGCCAATCCATGTGACGAATATGCTCACTGTCCATGTAATCGTCCGCCAGCCGAGCCCTATGTAGACGAGCTTTGTTGCCCATTAACAGGAACCCAGACCAACTGTGCCTCTGATATAGGGCTCTAAGTTCTCCTCTCTATACCTCATAACAGACCATTGCACCTTCATCAGGGTAACTATCTTTTGCCTTGATGAGGGAAGGATGGTATCGTGTTGTCTGTATCGCGCTAAACGCTCTCTCTTGTGTGCTGCAGTGAGCAGGACGCAAAGAGCGGTTCTTCTAGCATACAGCCCTATCTCATGAAGCATTTGGAAAGCTGTAGACCGTGAAACTCGGGTTCCAGTTTTAGGATATAGCTCAGGTGAGAGTTGTGAAACTGTAGCAGTCCTGTGTCAAGGCACTGAAAGTGCCAAATTAAGATCTTCATTCGTCGTTGTGGATCTTGGCCGACCTTGTCCAGGTCATCTTGATACGGATTTAGTGTCTTGAAACTGTTTCCACAAATTTCAGAAAGCGTATTCAGTAATTACACTTGTATTTTTAAGCTTGTGACTGGCCTGCCTCCAGTCTACTGACAATTCTCCGTTTCATTGTGTCATACATATGTTCTTGGCTATTCATTTTACCTGATACCTTCTAAAATTTACCCAACTCTTGTGAGAAACACGGCGAATGTCATGAAGGAATACGAGCACATAAATCGCCAAAAACCTCTCGTGCGCTTATATTCCCTCCATAATCACAACTCCGCACACACGTACGTGTACGCTTAAGTATTCGACTCTGAATATTTGCATAACTCTATGGTGACATAATTAGTATCTTTGGTTCAATACGTTTCGTAAAAATAGACATAGTTTGCAAATTCTCTTAATTTTTCACATGAGTGTATAAGGTGGTCAAAAATAAAGTGTCGCAATTTCTAACAAATATTTCAATCTTCACTGCCTTTGGCTAATAAAATTTAACTATCTTATACTCCTTCAATGCAGATACTATCCAAGACTGCAGAATCTGCTCCTACAAGTGCTCAGCCGTCGACGGTATGTATTTACAGCAGGAATAAACTGAACAATGCTCTGCAGAATCTCTCTATAACTAATAAAAATAAAAATAATGCAAAAGTTCCTAAAACTTCAGTACTAAAACTTCAGAAGTACGTTTCAAAAGAAAAGAAAAATTCCACAGACCCGGATATTGAAAAGGTATGTTATAAAAGTGATAGTAGAAATGGTCATAATGAGTTTCCGAATGTCTCTACTACTTTTGGCCTCTCATACAACGATAAGATACTGTTATCAGGTTCGCTTCAAAATTACAAACTAAAATCTGGTAATATATAGTTGAGACATTATGAGGTTTGAACTACTATTCTGGTACTGTATAAATAATAAGCTCGAAACAACAAAAATCCGAATTTCATGAGCCATGTCATGTATTAACTTCTGAATTTGACTTCCGGAGGATCTACAGCTGAAAGTTTCGAAGTCTTGTTGAATGTGATGACTTAAAATTTGGGAAAACGTAAATGATCGTTCTGATGTCCTAAAATGTTTTAGACAGGGTAAATCTGCAGAATACTCCAGAATTCCCAACTGATCAGAACTTTAATAAACTTTCACTAAACATTAAATTTGTCTACAGACATGATTAAGGAATTTCACCACATACATAATTAAGAACTTGCTACTGAAGGCGCTAAATGCATAATTATTGAGATTCAAATAACGCGTAAATGTTAATTTATGTTGTATTCATCTTAACATTATTCTTCCTAATTAACCATTTTCGTCGATTTTTATTAAATATAATAGTCCCTAGCAGTGCAGTTGTTTATGCTACAGAAGCCACAACCAACGGAGGTAACACAACTTTGAGGTTACTGCGGCATCTAGACGTGATACTTTGAAGCAAGTGAACAAGCGAATCCCTTCTCTTGCACAGGCAACGTCAATACATACGCACCATTGGCCACGGCATTCGATGACAAACAGACATGAACCAGAATACCCATCTCTGCCTGTTTGGAAAAACAACGAAGTAGATCACAGCAACTTGGCGCTCCCACAGCGTTCCTTATTATTCAATAAGAATCCAACAAAGAAAGCTCAGCTATTTTAGGACTGCAACCATCCAAAGTAGCCATCAATTACATAAACTTATTAAACTCGAAATCATGACCACAGTAATGGCTCATAACATGAAGTCGCATTTTTAAATATCGTAATCTAATTTGCTGGCGCGGAATAACAGGCGGAATCACGTTATTTGCTCTGAGAACCAGATATTTGTTGTTTATACTGTTTTTCAGCAGGATAATTTATTTCGCTCTTATCAAATCTTCAATAAATCTCATAAAAGGCCTGATGTTTGAAGATTTCTGATAGTGAAGTTCTCCATGTGATAGAGATCTCAAGGGAGCAAAGAATTGAGACATTTTGCCTCTGTAGGCTTTGTCTGTACTAGAAGGTGGTATCGACATAGTGTCGAGCAGGACATCCTAAAGGAATACTACGAGGAAGGTGTCATAAGCTATTGATGAAGAGAAGCTATTGATGAAAGTGAAAGCATTCTTCAGTGTCATCTGAACTATGCAATTGGCTCCATCTGTTGAGGACTGGAGAAAAGAGCTGCAAATGCGCGATCGTAGAAGAATTTCGAGAGAGAGTCTTCGCCAGTCATCCTCTTAGAAGCTGAAATTCAGTAAATTACATTTCGTTTTCTGAGAGTTTTCACTAGATTTAACTGAACTTTCTAAGAGTTTTCACTGAAGTTTTTGTATTTTATAGTTTCAGAACATAATGTGACGGTCTCTAAAATTTCACACAGAAATTTTAAATGTCTTAATTCTTGGACGATCTTGGTAAAATTTTGATTGAAATTTTGGGCATGTGCACAAGAAAGAAGTCCTTAAGATCTGAAATTTTGTGAGCTGAAGTGTTTCGATTTTTAAGTACCTTCTTATTATTTATAGCAGTGCAACTGAATTTAGAATTGTTGGGATGCTTTTGCTGAGGCATTGGTGGAATTTACCAAATTATCGGACTTATAGTTAACATGAAATTTATTCTAAATTTATCTACATTTGATGCAGGAAGACTTAGTGTCTTTCGGGACCTTGCAAGTGTAGGATAAATGGTTTTGACAACAATATAGACATCTTGGTTGATTATTACATCCTGTCTGTACGTGGCCGAAGCGCTAACATATATAACAGATTTCGAGAGTTTTCCTTCATCTGTATTTCTTGATATTGACTGAGAGGTGCAGAAGGCCTTTTTCGTGATATAGCGTACTGTTTTAATCACTAAGTTTCGGTTCCAGAGAAAAAATCACTAGATTGACTTTGAAGTTGGTGGTTTTCCTTCTTCTTCTTAGCTTAACGACCGAGTAACTTTGTAATGAAGCTCTTTCCTTATCGAGTCGGGGGTTTTTATCCATAGATAATCTACTGATGACCACTAACTATAGTTTTCTCTACAGTAAGTCGGTCTCTGTTTTGAGGTCAGCATAGAGAGCCCCTAATCAGGTTTCAAATTCTTCAGAATGAAGCCGAATTTCTTCATTGTTTAAGGTACCGATGTAGTCTTGGAAGTTATTTTCCTCAAAAATGGCTTTTATTTTTTTTCACTGGGGTTGTGGTTTATGATGAGTAGTAGGCTCCTTTACTTCTTATAAGTGTTGGGTCCTTTTCTTTCCTCAGGTGTTTCTTTCGCAGAGTCAGATAATTCCCTCTGACAAGTTTTGTGCCAAATAATACATATAAAGTACCAATACACCCGAAAACTACACATAGCTAAGGTTCGATTTACAAAGTGATACTTGCAATTCATTAATTCATTAACTGAATCTAATCTGGACAAAACATGTTCTAAAATAACCCAATATTAGCTACTAAATTATTTCATTTTTCTAAGTATTACAAACATATTAACATCAAAATAGACATACATATCTAAATTATACTAATCTCGGAAATAAATTCCCCAATAAATATTAACATTTAAAATATAAGATCCTTAATACCACATTAAATATTAAATTCACACAAAAAATCACTTAGCTTTACATAACCAACACTACACGCAAGGAAGAGGTGAAAAGTATTTACATTTAGCAGCCTGCAGAATACGCCATGCTGAAGGTTATCTTCTGAGAGTCAGACTGCTAAAGGATTCGTGGATACCTATCCTTAACATATAATCATTTACAGTATTTATCTTATCGTTCGACATTGTTCGTAAAGTTCAGTCGTTACTTCATCGGACTAAATATTCGTTCCGAACAATCTCCTTATAATATTTCGGAAAACAGGATCACAACCACCACATCTTCAAATGCTGCCAAAAGCTATTTTTATGAATGGCTAAATCAGGAATCCGAAGACACACGCACGTTTTACTTCCTTTACTCATTAAAGAATAGTCCTGAAGACAGTGTTATGTACATAATCACTTCAGGAGTCATAAATTCGGTATATGCTTCCTCTAACCTCGTCGTTACAAAAATGCCGTCGTTACAAGAACGTCGCATTTTCGTCACAAGAGATTTACAAGTTCGAGTTTTCCTCCGTCCTACTCTATACAGGGTGATTCTAAATTACTTTTACGAATTAAGAGTGATGATAGTACTTATCCAGATGAGCAATAATTACCATAGAACATAAATCGCATTCCACTCTGGGAGGCATAAAAGAAGAATATTAGAATTCCAATCTGAACTTACAACAGTGTTGAGAGAGCGAATGAACGAGACCAAATGTTGCACAATCAGTTTAGTGACAAACTCACAGAGAGTGCACAAAACGGATAAAACCGATAAACCGCCACTTTGCCTTGGCGTTCGAGTGTTAATTAGAGCTGAGACTGATGGCTAACACTCAAATGCACATCTTTGATTGGCAAGGTCTCAACCTCGAAAACGATTGCAACAAGTTAATTATGTATAAATTATTAGGAGGAAATTATCTATTAAGGGGAAAAACTACCTTGATATCAAGTATCAAGGTAGACGTTGTTTTTCTCTTAGCCATCTTCTATCCTGTCTTGCTGGACTTATTCTACTGCGCTCATTCTACTTGAAGCACCCTTCTATGGGACACGAAGTTCTGACATCCGAAACGCAGCATTAGCTTTACACGCTAATAACGGCATGCAGAGGACGTTGGAGTTAGTTGATAATATTCAGCCCTTGGTTACATAATTAACTTGTTGCAATTGTTTGCGAGGTTGAGACCTTGCCAGCCAAAGATGTGCATTTGAGTGTTTGCCATCAAAGTCTGAGCTCAAATTAACACTCGAACGCCAAGTTCCTGGTTTTATCCGTTTTGTGCACTCTCTGTGAGTTTGTCACTAAACTGATTGTGCAACACTTCGTATCGTTCATTCGCTCTCCCAACACTGTTGTAAGTTGTAATTATTGCTCATCTGGATGAATACTATCACCCCTCTTAATTTGTAAAAGTAATTTAGAATCTCCCTGTATAATTTAATCACACGAAACCAATACATCTTCTGTATTTTTTCCATCTATCTCGAACATCTTAGAATTATCACAGCAAAACTCAGGTTTCGGTCCTTGCCTCCAACACAGTTATCACCCGTAATTTTTCTTCACTTTTTTCCCTTTTCTTCTCCATGTTTCGAAACTCTGAGGAGAATATCTGTTAGAATTTGTCCTTCCTGCTTCTCGTTCGCTTTACACTACTCCTTACCATCGTTTCCTCATCAAAGTAAAAAGGGATGCCTAAAGAAAAAAACGCCTCTCTTTGACGAAATCATTCTTATTTTTTTCTCTTTTCTTCATTTTTTACTACTAATTCTTCTAGTTCCAGGAGAATCGGAAAAAGAAAGCTCTTTCAGCCCGAAACTCTCTCTTTTAACTTCTCGTCTAATTAATAATTATATCGCCACTACTGACGCAACCACATCTCATTTCAAATTAATTGATGAATCCGAGTTTAATACGACCCTAGTCTAGTCAATGATAACTCCGTAAAAATTTGAGCAGGCGCTGCACATCCTTCTTTATTATCTGCGTGCGAAAATCTCAAGGTACTTTCCTCTTCTGGGAAAAAGCACAACACCTCCGACGAAATGTCTCCTACAATGAACAATACTTTTGTCTACATATTCTGATTGCGTCACAGATCAAGCAATGCAGACAAAGACTGGCGCCAATTTTTCAATCAAGTCTTATTTTACACAGATAGCCGCCTGCACAATAACAATCTAAACTTACAAAACATACACATCACCGCCATAAGAGTCCATCGAAGTGCTGCCATTGCTGCAGACCAGCTAGTGACCAAGATCTCATTAGAGAAAGAGAAGCAATTTCATTGTCGTTAGAACACACACGAAAAGCGAAATGAGTCCTATTCTTTACCTCTTAACTCGTATCTAAGCTCCTATTTTGCTGGCGAATTTCCTGTCAAGGAATCCACGGGTAGAAAAACTACCGAGACCATATTTATTACTTAACAACTGAAGCTTTCCGTTGAGATGCTGCACGATGCAGTTTCACTCGCATCATAAATTAAGGGTAGATCCTTGTCTACAGCAGACTTGCCAGAATTGGAACTCTTCATTCTTTGCTTTCTGAATCTGGTTCAGTGGGGGATTTTTTGCGTCTCTTAAGCTTGAGTTTTCGGTGTCAGATTCTTCTGAAAAACTGACACTGTCATCGTTAGAATTTATCATTTCCGTTGGCTGAGTTATTATCTGAGGGGGTTCATCTTTATGGATAGGAATGGACCATTTTCGGTGAAAACCCCGAATTGTTTAGTCCATTTTCCCATTAAAACGTACTCCTGTAGATAACCGTGTGACGGCAAAATGCAGTCATGTTCTTGTTCTAGATATCTCAATCTCCAGTACTTCATTTTCGCGGAAGCTCCAAGCTTGATAATTTCATATCGGACGTTTATTTCAAAAAATATTCACCTTGAATACGAATATGAAATATTCAATTTGGCAATAGTCTCCTTCAATGTGGCATGATATTGTTTCGACGTCTCGAATGTAGTCTTGTTTTTTTGAATATTGAACTTGAAATTATCTATGTTGGTTTCATAAATAGGAAGCATGGTCCCAAAAATGGAAGGCCTGGCTGAGATCAGGACTGGAATCTAAAATTATCCGAATTGTAAAATATACAAAGTGATCGTCAGTCCGTATTATGGGCAAGATCTATTAATTTATCCTATTTTAAAAAAAATGTGAAAACTTCGAGGCTTAGTTTGCCATTCTTTTTGTTAGTACCTCAGAGCCATTTTAAGGGTCTAGAACTTTTCGTCGTCACTGTTTCGCCAACAGGACAGTTCGCCGGCAGCTGATTCGCCATGGGCCACTTCGCTCTCAAGAAGGAATGAAATATATAAGTTGACCCAATGAAAAAAGACCCAATGAAAAAAGTGATCTAATATTTCTACTGAATCCTATCATATGTATACAATACACCTAATAAATAATAAGGCGCCGATAAAGCCTCTTAAAATAAATTGCCTGAGAAAAAAATCATTAGTTCTAGGTAATATTTTAGTTATTCTAGAGCCTGTGCTTCTTTTTAAAATTTAAGACGTTCAGATGTATAAAATAGTTGAAAAATTATTAAACTAAATAAGATTAATAATATAACACGGCAAAATATAATACAGGCATGCAAAGAAAATTGTGTCTCGACTATGAAATAGGTAAACAAAATTATTAAACTAAACTTAATATGATATGATAAGATATAATATAAACATATAAAGAAAAATATGTCTTAAAGGAGAGTCGGTGTGACGGCAAAATAGCTGGGCGGCGAAATGACATGAGGGCCGAAACGGCGAATAGTCCCATTACGAATTTTAACGCAGTTCCCATGCAACATTTTCGTGGAATACATTTAATACACCTCACAACAAAATAGCTAACATCCATTTATGTTAACCTGGAAAATTAAAAATGTGGACTGCTCCTCCAAACACACAGCTTCAATAAAGAAGCTAGTTCTGGTTTGTCTTTGATTCTAATTTATTTAATTAATGTTGAAATTTTTTAGCTATTTCGATTAAGCTTTAATGAATATTTCTATTATAAAACAAGCTATAAAACTTAGGACATTAAAAATTAAATATCCCTTCTAGTGTATTCGCTTTTAATTTCGTTAAGAGACTTGAAAAGCGTTACAGTTGTTATCAGGTATTGCATAGGTAACGAAGCCACGAGGACCGACCTTTGTAGTTTACGTGTATTTAAGTGTAACGTCTCAAGGACTAATCACATGCGACGCAAAAAATCCGAACGCAGTGCCCTTGAAAATTATTGTTTTCCATTTGTATAGTATATTTGATTTCGCTGTAAATGACATAATTCCTTTTTCACACACACAAAATTTGTAGATATTGATGAATGTAAATGAGTTGCATTTTTGCTTCCTTTGGATTATCTGGCTTTTTATACCTTACATGATAAGCCTAATTTACCTTTCCCCCAAAAAATAATATTTTTTCAGCTCGAAATAATGACATCTAGGCTTCAGTAGAGTCTAAATCCATCACGACTGCATAAGCACCAGTTTTATCAGTGAGCTTAAATAGACGAAATAAACGAAAAACTGGCTATTTTACTGGTCGGCTCTCTAAATTTTGTAGCTCTCTCTTTTTTCCTTTTTAATAGGGAAAATTATCAGATGAAGTTTCATTTTAAGGAAAATTCTTGCAAAACTATTGACCTTGGTGTGAAATTGAAGCAGCAACGGAAAATATTTCAATAGTGAAGAATTAATAAATTGGACTGTATCTTAACGACTTGGTTTAAAAGCAATTACGTAAGAGTAACAATGACGGAAAACAATAATTTCTGTAAAGCTTGAACAAATTGAACAATGCTTAGAATTGTTTTTCAATAGAATTATTTCTGCTTTCCTTAGCACCTTGGGGCCGAATAAGTTTTTCTTTCATACTGTGAATTACTCTATTATTTTACGTATTTGGTATTTTGAAATCAGCTCAAACCTTGTGAACTCCTCGCTTTCAAAATTTACTACAGATGTCAGATTATAACGATTAACAGTTTAGTAAAAAAAAAGAACAACTGATTTCACATATTTCAAAATGCAAATATCTTCAGGCATTCTTCCATATTTTAAAATTTACAATCTATATAATTGGTCAATCTTTCTTCCGTATATTCTGAACGTTGATCTTCTTCAAGTCAATTATTTCAACATTTGTTTCCATACTCAGATTGGTGGACTAGGATCATCAAAAGCTGCTTCCAGAAGGCCGCCTACAATCATCTGCTACATCTGCGGTCGGCAATTCGGGACTAAGTCCATCGGCTTACACGAGCCTCACTGCCTGAAGAAATGGCAGCTAGAAAATGACAAATTGCCCAAAAATCTAAGGAGGCCACTACCCCAAAAGCCCGAAGTTATATTAAGAGGTAAATGTTTAGATTATTAGGGATTTATTAATCGTTTGAGTAAATCGTTTTGCAGTAAAGAAGTACAGTACTATTTATAGGGTTCTACTGTATCTAGATCTGTAATCAGTTAGGAAATATAGTCAGAATTACATATGCATGCTTTTCGGGGTGCCGCCTTTGATCTGATATATGAAGGTATATTGCACAAGTGCACACTTTTATATTTCACATAACTACAGGTAATGTAGTGTAGCGATAAATAATTTTATTAAAGAATGATAAAGCAGTCAAATGCGAAAAATTATTTATATTTTTAAAAATGAAAGGTGCAAATTTAACAGTTCTGTAAATGTTTTAATCAGTTTTGCGAAGAGTTAACAACCGAAGTTTTAAAGGAGAGAGAGAAACCTGTACTCGGAGTTAACATACAGAGAGAGGCTTCAATTAGGTGTATGGCGTGAGGCTCAAGATAATAGTCATCGAGGATCACTACATTTGCCTGGAAATTTATGATGTCACCAGTCTCACTTTAAAAAAAAATTCCCATAATGGGAGAATTATTGATTTCTCCCTCAATTTTGGTACTCACTAACATTGAACAAGAGATTACTACTAGATAAGAATAGATACTATTATTTCTTTTATTCTTAACGTTAAACACATTTCTTTGCCGAACGTGTTGAAAATACGGACAAAAACGACAATGAAACTGGAAGATTAGCTATAATTTTTAAGTTAAATAAAACTTGAGTTCTCAAACAAATTAAATTAACCGAGTTCAGTTTAAAAAAAGTAATTTGGCATCAATTTATTAGCCAAGTTTTTTATCATTTTTTGATTGATACAGCAAATAACTCAGCATCTGATTTATAATTTTACATGCTGCAAAAATTATAAATAAGAGAATATATATGAGAATAAACGATAAATTTATCATATTCACAAGATTAAATTTGTGTTACTCAATTAGCTTACTCAGAAACTAATATTTTTGACAGAAATACGCCGTTTGTGATTTATTTTTGAGCCAATAAATAATTAATCTGACATACTGCTATTCATCGAATCAAATTTAGTAAAATTTCATAGCATTCATTTTTACTATCTATAAGCTATTTTTCAGTGTTACGCGAATAGTATGCTGGCTTTCTTAAATTCGTTTACTTTTTCTACTGTTTGCCTGATAGACATTTCTTTTGAGTTAAAATAAGCTTTATTTTATCTTTTACTATGTTTCGTGCTTTTTCTTTTAAAGGTGACGGCTCTTTCGACACAGCTGCCATGTCAGAAGCTGCTTGGCAGATGCATCTGAAGCAACTCGTCCCTTGTGACAATTGTGGCCGAACATTTCTACCAGACAGATTGGAAGTGCACCAGAGGGGTTGCCATATAGATAAAAGGTATGCATTTTCTCTTGATGCCAGCAGCTGAGTTTTGACAAAATCAGTACGTGTTTATCTCCGTTAATTGCTCGGCTTCATTTTTGATACTAGACTTCCTGGTAGTTTTTTTTTTTTTTTTTTTTTTAAAGTTTGGTTTTTGTTTCAAAACCAACAATCTCTATTTCTGGAAAGAGGAGGAAAAATACGAAAAAATATTAAGAACGTGTGCCGAAAGCCGGAATGCTGATCTGATATTCCCCAAGATACAAACACAGGGAGCATATGTTTAAATTTATTATTGTTCATAAGATAAGTAAAATTTTATAATCAAGGAAATACTTCATGCTCATCCTGCGTTAACTTTGTCAGAAAGGTAAAACCATTTTGACATTCTGCATACTTCCAGATAGTGTAATCCATAATATCAGCGAATGCAGGACTAGCTGTTGGGGCCCAAAATTGCGCATAAATTTGAGAAGATGATTTGCTCTCATCCACAGTCCCTGTATCTTTTCATTACTAGTTTCTGATATCGATGCTAGAAGGTTAGCAGAAATCATGGAAGTGGTTGCTGCTCATCTTAGAAGCCCTCGGTGCAGTAATAGTCACGAAAAATGCCATCAGACATTCGCCCACTGTCCTCCATTATTGTGTTATTGCTGCTGAAGTTACATCACGATGCTTCACCACAGATTCTTATCTTCTTCGCTCGATATCCTTCTATGTCCCTATCCGACATTTTTTCATGGCGTGTCTCTAATTATTCCAACCTTTCCTTCGATGCACTGAACCTTCTTTTGACCACTGTCTTAACGTGTGCGTAACTTAACTAGCGTCCCGCTAACGTGGTGCGATTACCCCGGATGGAGAAACTCCCTTCTAACCCTACAAATTTTCCTCATTCGAAGTTCCTCAGTTTATGATGTTGTCTCGCTCTGCATCGATCCACACGTACGCTGTATCAGTAAAATAGCAAGTAATTTTAAGATATGTTCCAGATATGACTGAGATTATGAGATTATGCTATGATCCCAGCTATGACAGAGATTTACTTTCTACGATCCTCTTTCATAACCATTCAGTAAGATTACAACTTCGACTACACGCACATATTATTTGCTTATGCAGCTGAAATTTTAGCCATTGCGTCTCGTATCAAAATTAATCTGTGCGCCAAATTTCGGAACTTGCTAGTAATTCTTCCTCGGTGCTGCAGAATGTTTTAACAGGAGTATATATGTTTTCCTCCGAAATTTTTGAACTCATTTATTCAATCATGTTATTATAGAATGTTTTTGACTCGATAAATAAATTCAAGAATTGGGAAAATTATATACCCTTTTTTTGCTAGAACTTAATTCTTAATTTTTATATAAGCACGTAAACTTGATAATTTCACATTAAAGTAATCGCCACCATTTCTTTCATACCATTTATAAACCATCGTGTGTACTAGTCCTGTAACAAACAGCATTATATTTTAGTTAATTTTAATGCTTTAAAAGGAAAATTCTGCGATTAATTATAAATGTTTCTGACGATAAATGTTGTTATCTGCTTTCTTTTAGGAAGAATAAGACGAGAGGATAATGTCTCTTGTAAGAAGATGAACAACGGTTGCCAAGAAAGCTGGGGAACTGCAGAGCTTATTCTGGCATTTTCTTTTGTTAAAATAATGTGTAAAACTGCGTTTCCTATATTCTTTGTCTGGTCTTTTTTTTTTTTAATATAATTTTCAGAACGACATCAACACTGTCCAACAGCAGATTCAATGTGAAGAAGTAATGTTGACATAGAAAAATTTACAAAAGGGGGGGAAGAGCTATTGTGTTTCTGAGAAAATATGATTAAAGGGTAATCGGAAAAGTTTTTCGTGATATTTTCAGTCATAATCAGTTTTATGATATATTCACCTTAGGAAAACTCATAATAATAATGCAGAAATATAATAAGATCATATATACATTTTTCTCTAATAAAGAAGCAAAGCCTGAAAACCAAATTGTTATGTACTGATTAGGAATGAAGAACGTTATAAAAATAAATTAAATAAGTACTTAAAAGAAAATGGTACAAAAGGTGGAAAGTTACACTTTTTTCAAATACAGTTTGTTCGAGTGTAATTTATTTCGTCCTGCAAACAGTAAATTAATTTTCTCTAACAACTTAAACTGAGTGGAAAAGAAATACACTGTGGAATGGTTAAAATCAGGGGAATGTTAAAATCAGGTCAAATTGAATCTTACAGTAATCCGATATTTTCGATAGATCATCCGATATTTTTAAAATTTTTGTGAAATGTTGACTAAATTAACATTGTTGTTACATTATTAACATTGTTGTTAACATTGTTGTTACATTAATTAACATTGTTGTTAACATTGTTGTTCTTATACAGTGAATCTCAAATTTAAAGTGAACTTATTGTTTTTCTAGCGAAGAATTTTCCTGATGTCAGATCGTCTTATTGAATAAGCATTCTCCAGATATATCGCCACTTTTTTTCATAAAGATGCTAATACGATAATCGCTAGAATTTACTTTAGCTCAGAAATACTCTTTTCGAAACAATATTTCGATATCAAATTTCAATCTTTTGCTGCTTTTTACTGATCTTTTGCTTAAGTCGCCTGATTACAAACTGTGTAAGATGTCGAATATTCAAAAATAAGTTCTGAAGAACAACTACAACAATGAAACTTGTACATCTGAATTCAAAAGAAATATTATTTCATTATTTGTATACAGGGTGCTCCGAATTCGACCGACAAATTCAGTGGTATGATATATCCAGAGGATAAAAAATTGCCATAGAACATAGGTCGCAAACAACGTTTAGTGAGAGAAAAATCGCAAAAATGGTTATAGAGGGTGTGACGTCGAATGGAACAAAAGAGGCCAATAATAAGTAGAAAAACATTTATTTGACCAAAGGTAGGATTGCATTGCATCACAGTTCAACGTCATAAAAGAGACGATGTGACAGTTTTATGTGATTGCTTGAAGTGGGGGTCGAGGAAGTCATTACACAGCCGATTCCGATGGACGAAGCATCGCCGGACAGGTTCAAACGCACCCGCTGTTTGCGCTGTAGCACTGAGCTGGTTACAGACCGCAATCTCAAAATGTGCTGGTGCACCATAATGCATGAACCCCATGTTTTGATGCACAATGGCCGGTACTCCTTGCATCAAATCCGGGAGGACGTGCTGTAGGAAATCAAGTTAATTTGCTTCATTGACGCGTTCGGACAGGATGTACGATTCCAACAGATGATTTCCGAGAATCCCTGCCCAAAATGTTAATAGCGAACTTGTGTTGCACTTTAGGCGAGACAGTGTTGTGAGAATTTTCAGACGACCACATATGAGCATTGCGCATACTGACTACGCCTTCTTTCGTAAAGCAGGCTTCATCTGAGAATAAAACAGTGGCTCAAACCTTTGAATCTTCTGTGTAGTATCAAGCATCCAGCATATGAATTCTACCCGAAAGGAGTAGTTAGCATTGCCTAAGCGTTGGATCTTCTACACGTGCAAGGGATGCATGTTTTCTGCAGGCAGAACCTTCCACACCATTTTATGACGAACACATAGTTCATCTGCAGCTGATCGTGTACTGGTCGACGGGGAAAGGACACACTGTTGCAATATTCATTTTTCTGTTTTAGGTGTGAGCACACTACGTCCTTGACCTATGCTTACTTAGATGGATCTCGTCTCCAGCAGCCGTCGATCGATGTTCATGGAGGGGATACGGTGCAGGCAATGCCTTCTCGGATGTTACGCTGTGTGTAATCTCTGTGCTAGGTGTCCAATGCCACCTACACGCCGTAAATCAGATGCATATTCACATATTTCCCGTTCGTGTAATTTGACATGTTGTTTCCGAATGAATTTTAACACCCGCGAATTCTTCAGTGCCCACTAATGAGAACTTGATTGCTGTTTTTTTTCCCATACGCATAAGAAATCTTCATACGAAAACGTTTCTTCTCAACCGCCGTGCTCCTAATCGTCGCATTTGTTTGGCCACTCACTTCTTCAGGCTCACTGTCCTCTCGACGTCTATTTTTGTGATTTTCACCACCCTATGGTTTGCGACCCCATGTTCTATGGTAATTTTTCATCCTCTTGTTACCTGTTGTCATTCCCCTGAATTTGTCGGTGAAATTCGGAAATACCCTGTATAAGAATACAAAAAGTAAATAAGAAATTAAAATTATGAAAGCGCACTTTAAATTAAAAATTCTTTTAGAAGATTTTTCTGGATCAGCTAAATAGTTTCCGGCAAGTTAAAAAATTAATAAAATATCTGAGCAAATATATTGCTTAATATCAAACTGAAGTATTAAGCAAATAACACAAGCAAATAGAAAGTAGGAAAGAAAAAAAAATGTAATGTGGCCAGCTCATGACTTCCCCTTAATTCTATGTTCTAAATAGCAACGAGCTTCCAGTTAATTGTCTGTAAACAAAGTCTAATTTATTATTCCAATAAACAGAAAAGTCTGTAATACGAAATTCTGAATTACATTTTATTAGATTATAAGGTATTTCTCCCGCCTTCTTAGCATGCCTTTGGAGTGTAACGCTAGCACGCTCGTCGCGTATTCGAGAGATCCGTGGTTCGAGTCCCAGCGAGGGCAGTTCTCATTTTTCATCTCTCCTGCTTTCAAAAATACCTAGGGTCTCTACAGTGGCGGCGAACTAAAAAAGGTAGTGGATTATGATTCTCCACCACCAGGATTTTGCAATTGGGTGCCCTAATCCCCAGTTGCTCTTTAAAAGGGGGAATATATAAGGTATTTGTCCAGCCTTCTTAACATGCCGTCGTAGTGTAGTAGTCAGCAAACTCGTAGCGTATCGAGAGGTCCGTGGTTCGAGTCTCGGCGAGAGCATTGCTCGTTTTTCATTTTCTGATTAATTTCTCCTATAATTTCATCAATCCTTTTAATTTTAATTTTCACTTTCTCCTCATCAAATATATTTTCATTTTATATTATATTTGAAACTGTATTAATTCCAACTTTCTTTCTTATTACTATAAATGGAAAACAACCAGAACGCCTTCAAGCAGGAATTTATTTAATTATATATACTATTACTGCTTCATTACCTTTAATACTTGGAATCCTTTATTATAAAAAATATTCTGAAATCCTCTTCTCAATCACATTAAACTTCAAATTTAATCTTGCAATAATTTTTATCTTAGCCTTTATAGTTAAACTTCCTATATTCTTTCTCCACCTCTGACTCCCAAAAGCTCATGTTGAAGCCAGAAAGTGAAATAGAGATTCTGTTCGCCATGAAGGCCCGCTTTGGACAGCACTGGGTTCTATCTATAGACCCAGTAGCTTTCAAGATCCTTATGAAAACGAAGAAGTTGAACATACAATGGTCAAGATATAACGTAAGGGAGTTTATAAAGGTTTCGCAATGTGTCAAATGCCTTGGGTATAACCACCCAGCAAAATATTGCAAGGAAGATAAAGTCTGTGCCGGATGCGGCTCCACACACCACGAGAAGACCAACTGTGACCAAAAAGCAGTCAGCTGTGTCAACTGCACAAAGGTGAATAAACGATATAATACAGGCCTCGATGCCCAAATGATAGCCGAGATAAGAAATGCCCATGCTACCTAAAAGAGCTCGAAAGATTAAAACAACGAACAAATATGGATAGTATCCAAATAATCCAGATTAATCTTAAGCACTCCAGGAGTGCAACAGAAAACTTAAAGATAAATTTTGAACAAAAACGACAAACTCAAAGTAGCATGTATCCAGGAACCGTACACAGTACAGAACAAACTGTACGGATTCCCCACAAAATATAGGAAGTTCTACTCTCGAACAGACGCAATAACTGCAGTGATTATAGCGGACTCAAATCTCCCAGTTCTGGAACTTTTAAGCTCTCCGGAGTTATAGCGCTTGCAATAGCAGTGGACTCAAGATTTATACTAATCACGGTATACTGTCCTCCATCGCGAGATATTGCACCAATCCTGACAACCCTAGAAGGTTTATGCAGGACAATAACAACATGACTACAATAATTACCGGAGATTTCAATGCCAAAAGTCCCCTATGGGGCTCACATAATACGGACACACGAGGCCTCAAAGTATGCGAATTCATTGCCAGCACTGGACTATCGATAGTCAATGAAATGGGGATACGCCACCTTCGCAGGAGAAAGTGGTAACAGCTGGATTGACCTCACACTTATCAAAGTAGAGACAGAATCCGGATCGATAATTGGAAGGTAACGGACGAAGCAAACAATAGCGATCATAATAATATCTATTTGACGTCTCCAGCATTCATTACCCAACATGGAGAAGATCGAAAATCATGTACGACATACCGACTGGCTAAGTTTCAAAAGGTATATCTCAAAATCTTTAGCAGACCTAGAAATCTGACAACTATCGAAGAAATCGATAAAATATGTAAGAGAAGTTACCACTAGTCTTCACGAGATCTATCAAAGAACAGTTCTCTCACATAACTCGAACCAAGATCGCGCACCTCCATGGTGGACAAAATCTCACTATTCTCAGGAAAAGGGTCCAGAGCAACAAGGAAAAGATTCCAAAAACAAATGGAGATGAAAAGGACCCATAACAGGCTGCTTTACCAAAGGGTACGTGTACAGTACCGGCAAAAGATACAAAGAAAAGAAAAAAGC